GTGACACTCTATAATGCATTTGTACGTAGTATTCTGGAATATGGTGCCATAATATGGTCTCCCTATTATTCAGTTCATAAAAATGAAATTGAAAAGGTACAGAAAAAATTCTTAAGATTTCTGTATTACAAAAAGCATGGTGAATATATTTTCAATCTCAGTTATCATACTTCCTTGAATGAATTTGAATTCACAACTTTAGAATTTAGAAGAAAAGTTGCTATTATAGTATTTTTCTTCAAGCTACTGCATAATGAAGTAGATAATCCACAATTGTTGACACAAATTTGCCTGAACTGCAGTACATATTTCAATAATAGAAGAAGAGATATATTTGTTTTGCCTAAACCTCGAACCAACCTAGGTTTAAATTCCCCACTATACAATATGTGTTCTCTTGCAAATTGTTTGAGGAATATAGATTTCTATGTTAAATGCAATGAAAAAACATTCAGAAAAAAAATTGAAATTGAGATATCATCTTTAAAAGTAAATGAGAATTGTAACTGAAAGCCAATTTAAATGAAAAAAAGTCGATTTGTCAATTTCAACTAAATGTTTCTCTCAATTTGATTGTGATTCAGGTCATTTGGAGTTAATTTAGTTTAGGGCATCGTATTATTTTGAGAATGGTGATTTACTTAGTTATAATATTGTAATCGATTATTGGAACTGCCTGTTCTGTAGATTACTTATGAAATAAAAATAAGATGGAAATATGGAGTGGACTGTACGTTAATATGATGCCGCCAGTAAAAAATTCAAAATTTTCTCTTGTACCTATCTTATAGGAATGTCTTTTAAATTATGGTTATTGATAAAATAAGTCTATTTTCCGCCCTGTAGATGGAGCATCTTGAACTCTACCAGAAAAAAAACGCAGAATCTCATTCCTAATGAATTTTTCCACAACATGGAACAAACCATTTCAGTTTATTTCAAAATATTTGGAATTTGAAAACGGTGAAATATTCAGCCTTCTATAATGAAGGCATATTGAAGAAATCAGTATTGATTGACTCAATCTCGAAATACATCGTCAAACATAATATAAGAGTCAATTAAAAACTGTTTTGTCAAAACATAGGGTGCGTTCTCACCCCCGCAAAAGCCAATACAGAATTAAGCCTAAGTGGTGCATTAACCACTTCGAAAGAGACCTTCACACCGGCCGTATCGCTGACGTTTTTCGCCGTAGAATCCAGAGGGTCCCTAATGCGGGGGTCCTGTGGGAGACGACCCATTATCGCGCCTTTCACTAACCCCCACCCCATGCCCCATACGTCCCTTGCTACAACTTATACGTTTAGTTCAACGCCTGAGTTGTCACTTCTCGAATAAACCGGATAAAAATCCATGTTCATCTGTTTTTAATGTCCTGGTTCCCACGAAAAGGGATATCCTGTAATGTTCAGAACATCGTGAGAACCAAGGGAAATAAGGTAGGAATTGGTGTTCTTTTCAAATTTCTGGAGGTTATATGCCTCGACCTCCCTTGGCAATGTGTTCCAGAGCCTCGCTGTTCGTTGGATGAACGAGTCTTCGGAAAGAGATGTTCTGCAGGTCTCCAAAGTGACCACGAAGGGGTGCGAGGCCTCAACTCGACGGGTTAATCTCGCGGGGACTGCCAAGGAAGGAACAATTGTTGATATTTCAGAAGAGCATCGTCCATGAAAATATCTATAAAATAGAACCTGGTTGACTAAACGCCATCAAAAGTCTTCTTTCTTCAAGTAAGACGAACTTAGTATATATGTCTGAAAAACACCCGAAACCCACTATTGCTCAGTACCAAAATCAGTTAGTTTGTTCCATGGGAATACCATTTTAGATTAAAATTTGATCTAGAATTGGGTCTTCGGGCTATCTGCCTCCATACCGCGACCTGTTCAGATCTATTGTGTCTGCCTTCAGAATCGTTCAGAGTTCTTTGGCTGTAGCCCCAGCTTCTTTATTAGACTCCATAGGCTAGCTTTCAGATCCCCTGTGTATAACTTGGGACTCTTGGTTTTTCCTCTCCCAGCGTGAGGAATCTTATAGTCTTGACAAGCTCTCACAGTGACAAAGTATATAATATGTGTACTGCTGTTTCCTTCTCTTCCTGGCAGAACCTGCACAACAGTTCTTGAGCCAGACCTATCGTACTCATGTGTTTGTGGAGCCTGCAATGCACTGTGAGAAGTCCCACTAGTATTCTAGTTGAACTTCGTTTCTGGCTCAGAAGTAATATGAAGCTGTACATGATGGAAATTCATGAGACGTAATCCAACATTTGTGATAATTTGTCGTTCAGTAGATCAGATTTCAATTAATATTTCATTACTTTTCTTGGCATTCCTGAGAGATCGGGAGCCGATTTTGAAGCTAGTAGCAGTAGTACGAGGAGGTACCTTCATATCTGGATGGATTTGTATGTTGGCGGAGATATTATACCTTTGAATCTCAAATTGAAGTTATGCACATCTGTCCTGAAAGTATAATTTTGTGTGTGGGAATAAATCAATTCAAGGCTGCTGTATCCTTTTTTCCAACATCCAAAATCAGTCCCAAATTTTCAACTTCATCCTTCATAAGTAGTTTCACCCCATCGACCAATATTATTATTATTATTACAAAGCTTCTTCGCTGACGGACGACCGAAAACCATAACAGAGGATTTTGTAGGGTAAATAGAGAAACAGTATTTTCTAGAAAGCATTAGTATCCACTATACAGTATAGTGGTTCTATATCTTGACTTATTTTGTACATGCCTGGTTCAGGTCATTTTTTGGAAAAACCATATAAAGTTGGTCATCTGCATACGTGTGTATTGAAGTATGACTTAAATGCTTGGAAATTGCGAAGTGTACAGGGTATCCCAATTTGGGCACTTTTGCGGGGTATCTCCCTTATCAGTAAAGATAGAGCATTGCGGTTTTCGCGACAGTGTGCTACTTTTTTATGAAATTAATAATGGCGCGAGCAGAATTGTGATAGCTCTTCCGGTTGTCGAGATACAGGGTGGAATTGAAAAATATCACTTTTCAGGCACCCTCCGTGTCTCAGTTATCTTTGAACTTATCGAAGAAGTTAAAACTTGTTTTTATAGAGTTTTTCTCGTAGAATCCAGTGGCGTAGTTATTTTTTTGCTAGCACCTTTCGTTTTTTAGTTATATATGGAGCAAACATATGTTTTTTTAAATGGAAAATAATTGTATACAATTATATATTTTTGGAAAGCCCACTTCATGCTCAATGTATATATGAAATAATATACAGGGTGTCCCATTTAAAGAAACATATGTTTGCTCCATAACTAAAAAACAAAAGGTGCTAGCAAAAAAATAACTACGCCATGATTTATTCTATCGAAAGCCTTTGAATAGTCTGAGAGAACAAAAATACATAAGGAATTATTATCAACCATTTTTGAAAGTGCAGTAGTGCAGCTGAAATCTTTTCTAAATCCAGATTGACAGCTGGGTAATATGTTGTGGTTTTTCTCATATTCCTGAGCACATAAAATGCTTATATAGGTCGAAGGTCTTCTTGTGGGTTTCAACTTTGGCAATATGGCTAGAAAGTTTTGATCCCAGCCGACAGGAGGACTTTTTGAGTAGGTATATATACTTTGAAACGGGGCTACTTTGGCAAACGGGGTATGTTAGGGTTGATTCAGTGTTCGGTCGATACTTTCCGGTCTCTCCCACCCTTTTTTCATGGATGATGCTCGTCTGAAATATCAACAATTGTTGTTTGGAGACCTGCAGAACATCTTTTTCCAAAGACTTGTTCATCCATCGAACAGAGAGGCTCTGGAAGACATTGCCGAGGGAGGTGTTTCCCGATGCATATAACTTCCAGAAATTTAAGAGGAACACCAATTCCTACCTCATTTCCCTTGGTTCTGAGGATGTTCTCTGAACATTACAGAATATCCCTTTTCGTGGGAACCAGAACATAAAAAAAAATATTTGGAGCCAATTGATACTCTACTCATCAATAGTATATCTTACTGGGGTATATTTGACAGCACGTGCGCTGCTTCCGTCGCTGTGAGTTGTTGGAATAGGTCAGTACACTACTTTAAGCAAAATATGGTGCGATATAACACGCGTTTCGCTGCCTCAAGGTCCAAAATTATACGGCATAGGTAAGAATTTTATCCAAATAATAATAAAACGTTGAATGGTGCCAAAGTATTTTGTTAGAGGTTATAGGTGTGAGTGAGACCTATATTGCTGCCCTCGATTTTTTTCCAATCGAATCAATTATAAATACAGCGCCTATGGTACCTATCATACATACTACATAATTTTGGAAAAAAAAGTTGAATCGTTCATTCTACTCCGATTTACGAGTGTAGTTACCCTTGAAACGGGACAGACAGTATATGAAAACATCTCTATTGACCCCTGGAGAGCCTGGAGGGACTTCTCCTGACCCGGTGTGAACATATTGTGGAACAACATCGGCTACACCCGTTAACAGGAGTAACGGACCTTCCTATAGCAAATAGGAAAGGCGACGCAAACGAAAAATCGAAGACTATCCGTCACAGAGACCTCACAACAAAGAAAATCGACCAAGAAAGTGGACGAACTACACACAAAGATTACATCGGCGTAGCACTCGTAGCAGATTAGCTACAAGCACGCAATATCCAAGGAATCGAAAGGAAACTCACACATCAGATACGAAAACGTAGAGGGCTCAGGTTACGTTTTTCAAAATAGACAGTTGCAACTGTCTTAATAGACAGTTTTAACTGTCTAAATATACAGTTTCAACTGTCTATGAAAATGGTACTTTGTAAATAGACAATTGTAACTGTCTAAATAGAAAGTTGCAACTGTCTTGTACACTAACTACTCTGTCCTACTTACAACAGTACAAAGGTTTGGTAATCTGTGGTACAACGTAGGAAAAACAAAAACACGTGATGCTTATAACTGATTAACTAATACGAGCAGCGTGTATTGCGGGTATAGCGATTGTGGTAGTTTTTTATGTAGTAAAATGGATGATGGTCATTTCTGTTTGAGTTTCCAACAAATTGAAATTTGTTTGGCTCTCAATCATGATATAATCTCCAGTTTGAGCACTCTCAAACGAAAATTACACAAATTGGGATTGTTCAGAAGAAAGAATTTTACTGACATTCTAGTAATTCAACAATTCATTACAAATAATGCGAAAACTCATGGTCAATTACAAGGATACCGATGGATGCACCTCAAATGCCTTCAGAATAATTCAGTAGTTACACAAGAGATGGTTTGTCTTCTGCTTCCAATAAAATGGTTATCCAAATGCCTTTCTTAAATAGACAGTTGCAACTGTCTATTCAAAAAAACGTAACGTTACCCATCTACGCTTTCGTACATAGATGACAGACCTCGTCCTCGACACTCCATCTTCCATACCAGTCGAGCAAAAACCAAGGAATTATTCGAGCATAGCTTAGCAATGTAATCAGCTCTAAGAGAGTCTGGGACAACCAAGGAGAAGTGGTAGTGAATCTAGGTAGAGCAAATAGGGTCACCCTTCTCTGGGTTTCGAGGAATACCGGATTGGAGAGGAATGAAATAGCAGATAGGACAAACGTCTAGCTGGACCAGCAAATCTTTTAATTCCCACGGTTATCAGAAGGTTATTTGTGTTCATAAGGCTTATGAGGTAGTATGAGGATGGAAAATATATCTTCTGCATGAAAGAGGAAAGTACTCTCAACCCAACTTGTGCTGAATGAACCTTTTTCCGGAAAAGTAGATATATTTCTGAAAAATTACTCGAGTGAAAAAATTTTTAACAAAATTGATGACCTCCACCACCGTGGAAGTCAGATACATAGACCACTAAGCTATCGCTTCAATCGTAGTTGTCGTAGATTCTCAGTATAAAGAAGGTGAAGAAGGAAGAAATATCATGTGTTGTGGGTGACGTCACTTGACCTCGATGTTTTGAAGATTCGCTAGTCTAGCTATAGACGCTTGTGCAGATAGGCTAGCGAAGACAGGGTTTGCGTAAGTGCTGAAACACCATTCATAAGAACCGAACCCTTCTGTGGGATCAGTGACAATGGTTGGGAAATTGAATGAAGTATAATGTATCTAGAGAAAGAGCCAGATACTGGCAGGACCTAGAAGGTATATGAGACAAGAGACAAGCGAAGACACTCCTAGGAACTCACAACCTGATAACTACCGAATACATCAACCTAAGCAAAAATAAGATTCGAATATACTAACTGGAGTCCTATATCAGGACACTGTCGATTGAGAGGACATTTGAAGAAACTCCGGGTATATAGTGGTGGAAGCAGAGGGCAGATTCTGTGAGGAAGAGGACGGAACCTTCATCCACATCCTCTCGATCTGTGTAGCTCTTCGCTACACGAGAGCACTCTGTCTAGGAACATACGAAATCGAAGAAGGAGATCTACCCTTTCTGAAACCATCCCATATTACTTTCTGAGGAGGAAAGGATCAGAAGGATAATTATATGTGAGAAGAACTAGGACGCATAGTAAGGAGGGAGGGAGCACAATAGATCACTTGGGTCGCAGTGTACACATCACCATTATCTACACAAACATACATAATACATACATAGCATAGTAACGAGGAATCGAACACAAAGGATATTCAGAAGGGCACAGAAACACAAACAAATAATATATAACATTATGTATACGTAGCAAAATCAGATTGAGCCCGAAGAGATAGTACTTGAAATGCTATTACCGATCCCCCTTTGTTTTTTTCCACTCATTCAACGTTGAATAAACGTCAAACCAACGTACTGAATGTTTTCAATAAAAATAAGAGTTCAATTCAGAGTTAGCCTTCCGAGTCTCGTTTATTATGTGCTGCTATGTTCCGAAAGACTCAACACATCTCTAACATGGAGGTTGAGGATCATCTCGGTGAGGGCGTGGCTTGAGCCCCTCCTCTGTCAACGGACGTTCCCGCCTTTTTGACTCGCCGACAACATGCGTGCGCCATCTAGCGGCCGGCTTTGCAATACTGCGCTTCGCGAAAGCTGTCCCATTATTTTCGAGCGGTGCTTTAGACATCAGACAAGATTGGATTGCTACGGCTACTTGATTATTTTTTGTCGCTTGGTCTTATGGCCTTTGTCTTCGTGATGGGAAGTTTTTTCTAGTTGTTTAGTTTATACCTAGCTATAACTTTCCATAGACATCTTACGGCAGCATACAGGGTGTTTAATAATTGAATGTCAATAATTGGGGAGGCTCAGTCATTTTAATCCAAAACTATACAGGGTGTTACTGTTATTGAAGTGTGTAGCCAAACTAGGAGAGATATTTCGGGTGATTCAAAGGCGAAACATGAATAGGAGATACAGGGTGTCAAAGTTTTCATAAAAATGGTTTATGCCTGAATATCGTGAAATTTTGTCATCCAAATTCTGGTCAAATTTGTCAGTATTTGTTTGAAGTAGTTTTCAGGAAAAGTCGACATCCCCTCCTAATCTCAGAATCTCAATACATTTTCAGACGTACCAATATGTTTATGAGAAATTGTCTTCTTAGGTCGATGGGAATGGCGCAGTGGCAAGGCCTATTTTTAATATGTCATTTACGGATAGAATATTGTGAAATTTTGGAGTATCTGCTGGGGATGGTCCTGCACGATTCACTGTTGCGTTCCAATTAACAGTGCTGCTCATATGGTGTTGCGTATGGAGTTAGTACCAAAGCCTACACAAAACACATAACTTCAGAACACTTTGGGTTTGAGCTCCTCAATAAAAGAGGTCGATGGCCAGTTAGTATGTACCTCATTATGTACATACCTACCAACGAACTAAATTTTTTTTATGTTTTGGTTCCCACGATTGAAGTTTGGTCACATACTCAAACAGCAATCTTGTATACCCTTAATTTCTATCGATTTTCAATATTTGATTTCCATACACTGATAAAAATACCCGATTGGTGACAAAAGAATGATGCTTTTAGATTCTTTTCACTCCTGACAAAGACAATTTCTTCCTTTCAAATACATTGCTCTCATCTGCAGATTATTGCTGTTTTTGTAATAAGGTTTTGAATCTTTTGGCTGTAAACGCTTTTGAGAGAACATCATCGAACTTGTCTCTAGTCCTGCTTGGTTTGCATCTACCTCAAGATCACAAGACTTTGATACAAGATCTGAAATCGTTCGGTTGACACCGTTGATGAGATCGAGTCCACCCGAGGTTAACCGAAAACATACCGACTCCGTTTGAGTCATGCGCAATGCATGGATCGACCCCATCTTCCCATCATCCTTCTTCTCCTGCATCGTGCCGAGTACCGTCCCGTTGCCAATGAATTTTAGCGGCCATATCTGTCGTGTTGCGTTGTGCTGTGGATCATGGGCGATTCAGTGGAGTTTGAAAAACTTCTAGATGCGTGGCGTTTGAGCCATATGATGCAAACATTTCAAAGTAAGTACCCACCTATACTTATTTCAGTAGATAGGTATTTCATCATCATATAAAATGTTTCATGTGTTATTTTATAAAATAAATGAGGTTTTTATCAATGGTGGTTTTTTTCAAGATTTCCACATTTCTTTGCCCAAGGATAAATAAGAAGCTGAAACAAGTTGATGGGATATTTTAATTTTCAAGTATATTTCAACCAATGCAAAACGTTTTTTCGTCAGAACATCAGAACTAAATCTAATATCAACAAAACAATAATGGGGTTTTGTCTCGGGTTTTGTTAAGGATTCATAATAACATGATCCTCAAAATGTTTATAGAAATCAATTGAAATTCTAATTATTATTTCAACATTTTACAGGAGTATCCTCTCAAGAAATCTCCAGAGAATTTGCATTTGCTGTATTTACAGCGAAGCCCTATATTTCAATACAATAATACCATATCTTCCATCTTAAATCTCATAACTTTGAAATATATCTTAACGATTTTGACCAAAAATAATTGTTCATTATGATAAGTTCAGGGTATTTTGCTATAAACTCATATATCATTGGGCTAAAGAAATCATGGCACTTACCTCAACATTCCACATAAGTTGGAAAAACTACGATTTTAAGCCAAAAGCATTAGTTATAAGGGCAAAACCAAAGTTTCTTGCCTTGAATTTATATAATTTCATGCTAAAGAAACTTAGGCGCTTGCCTCAAAGTTTTTGGAATATTGGGTCGAAATGTCCATGCATTCCGCCCTATTCAAATGCTTGGCGCCCTTGAGGTAAAGTCAAATTCCTTCAATCCAAGGAATCCTTTTTATCAGTGTACCCATTCTTAATACATTGAGGGTGATGTGATTCTTTTGAAATAATTATTTCATAGAAAATATAGTGCCTATGTGCAAATACCAAAAATAACGATATATCGCACGAGTTGATGTCCCATATGAAAAATAGTTGAACCTTTGAACTCATGCAAAAAAAATCACCTGCAGCATTTATATTCGTCGTTTGAAATATTTTTTCAATCAGGACCCTTACCATCCGTAGCTGGAAAAATATTTTGAAATTATACGGTGCACTGTAAAGAGAGCACGCTACTGAAGTGACGAAACTTCGTATTGAATGTCCATATACCAATGTAAAAATTGGTGAACATATATTTCCGAGTATATTTCCCCTCTTCCTCAGCCCATATACCATCGTTTTCACAACCCAACAATCCGTGTATAAATATTGTAGTACCTAACCTAACACGAGAGGGGGATGTAGACAACAGATTACTGACACACACACACACAGACACATACCGGTGTGCAATATATATTTAGGGCTGTTGTTTGCCCATTTACCGCCAGCTAAGGTTCTGTTTGCCAACACTCACTCTGTATATTTATAGTTCGATGTGCTTGGGAAAATACTGGGAATGGATTGGCGCAGGTTCGGATTCCTTTTGATGGTGTCTGTAACTCCATCTACAAGAAGACCACCAATTTTGTCTATTTTACCTTTGTAGGTTTTGCTTTTTTTTTCATGTTCTGGTTTCTACGAAAAGGGATATCCTGTAATGTTCAGGGAACATCGTGAGAACCAAGGGAAATAAAGTAGGAATTGGTGTTCTTCTTGAATTTCTGGAGGATATATGCTCCGGGAAACACCTCTCTTGGCAATGTGTTCCAACAGACAGAACAGTATTCCAGAACAGGTCGGATCTGTCCCTTATAGATCATAAACAGCAGACTGGAAGTGAAATAGCTCCTCGCTCGAAACAGAAAACCAAGTTTTTGGGATGCACTTTTAGCAATTGATCTCACGTTATTTTCCCAAGAAAGGTTATTGCTGATAGTAATACCAAGCATTGAGAAGGATATCT